TAAATCTTAGGGTCCTCCTTGTCTTTTGCCACAATGTCTCATCTTGGTGACAAAGTTTATTAACCTCCTAAGCATTCTTAATAAAAATAATGTATAGTTTGATCTGTAGGGTATTCAACACTACAATAACCCAAGAATCCATTTCTGTAGCCAGGAAAATTCATCCATTTCACTGAATCTACTGATGCTGTTTTGACTTGTTACACCTAGCACCTTAGCAGAAGATACTTTATGGTAGTGCTACTCTTTTCCATTAAACAGTTGGCTCTTCATTGTCATGTCCCCTATCCTACTGTGCCCCTGTCATCTAATCCTTCAGCTTCTGCAGTAGCTGTCTTTCTTTATCTCTTTTGAGTTTAGAATTAACCTTAACCCATGATTGATGGGCCCCTCGTATTCACTGATCATATTGATGAAAGGGTTCATCTCAATCTTTTTGCTAATCTCTATCACAACTAAATGCCAAGGTGCACAAACATGTATTTTTATATCTCTTAAATTCTCATAATTAAACGCATGTGAGTAGGTCCATATGTAGTTTCTATTATGTATTTTACATACTTTGATTCCTTTATCGCATGGTTTACCTGTTACAGTGACAACATCTGGTTCTGAAAATCAAGAAACTGCTTTTAAAAACATGTTGTTGGTAAATGGGACTGTGCTTATTACAAAAGACAAAGTGAATGGGACCACCAGAGAGGGACCAAGATGGTGACTATATGTTGACTGAACAAGGTTTTTCAACTAAGAATGAATTCACTGAAAACTGGGGTTTCACAGGGAGTGAAACTGGTTGTGAAGTTTTATTGAATGTGTGAAGAGTTTTAGCCAATTTTACCCAGTGAGAAAATCTCAGGAGTCCACAGGCTTCATGCTCTTCACAACCTTAGTATTAGAACTGGAGAAACTCTATATATGGGACTTCAGAATATCCTGTCTTTTTCTATACGAGGGGTTGATTTGAGACTTACTGGGTGCAACTACACCTGCAATTTGCATGTAGCAATAAACTCCGGCAACATTTATACATGCACCCAAGACTGCAGCACATTGAGCCAGGGCAGAGCAGCCCCCATCTTACAGGGAACCCGGGGGTGCCTACTAGCCTGGGGCTGCTCCACCTTGGCTCAGCATGCTGCAGAGAGGCTGGCTGGGGCACAAGGATGCTACAGTGTGGGGCTAACTGGCAGGCAACCCCTGCACTGTAGCACCCTAGTGCCCTTGCCAGCTCTAGTCACCATCTACAAGTACATTTTGGTACAGGTAACTACTCCACTGTAGGGTAGTACTTGTCCTGGACAGTACTGTCTTACAGTGGAGTTAATCAACTTACTGTGCTCTAATACAGGTGCATGTGTAGATGGTGACACTTTACTGCAGAACTAATTAGTCAACTCTGCAGTAAAGTGCACGTGTAGATGCATGCACTGTGTTTTTTCCATGTACAGTCTCAAAGTGTACAGAGCTGTGGAATTATCCTCCACTGTCTCCCTTCTGTGTCTCTCTTTAAAAAGTGTAATATCTGGACGTTCTTCACTCTTTTAAGTTAAAGCATGAAACAGAGGGCTTAGGAGGGGTGGAATAAGAGAGAAAAAAAAAGAAGAAGAAGATGTTTTTGCTTAGTCTTGTTATAAATATTTTTTGTCAGGCTTTTTATAGTTCCTATGTTAAAATGTTTGAAATCTTCCAGGAGTTCATAGGGAGAGCTTGGAGCAGCCCAACTGGAAAAAAAATGGCAATGAGATTAATGACTGGCCCCTTTTTTTGTGCATCTCGTGAAATTAGTGATACCTGTGCATATTTCATTATGGTTTCACAAAATTATTTACAATGGGGAAAGGAATATCTAGCTGTGATAGACATGGAGCATTTATAATTATGAATAGATGGACACTCCACATCATGATTTTTATGTAGCTAAAATTAAAGCATTCAGTCTTCCGTAGAATACTGGCATTTACAGAATGTGAACCAGCTGCAAGCCTTTCTAATGTGAATGTGTTCTTGAATATATAGATTGCATTTTACATGCCAGTGAGCCTTTTAATGCTATTAGATTAGTTTAAAAGACTTGTTAAAAAACAGAATTAAAGGATGACAGGGTCTCATTGATTGTGGAGAAATAATCAAATTGTCTATAGGCAAGGTCTCTAAACATCATTAATGAATTTGATGCGAATGAAGATCTGACAGCAGAACACAAGATTAAGTGTTTATTAAACATTAGAGGTTATTCTGACAGCATTCCTGATTTTTAAATTAAAATCTTGAATCTGAGCCTTGTGTAATATATCGTTTTCCTACATTTCCATATGCTATTGCTTACTGTAAAGGCATTGGTACGGTGTAATGAGTTTAGATTTTTTTTAATGGCTTTATTAGTCGTATTCTCACTCTCAGTTTGAAATTTCTGTTAGAAAACTACAAACAGCATTAATCAAAAGAACAAGTTGAAGAACATTTTATTTAATACTTGGAATACGTCTTTCAGTTCTTCTAAAGTAGTCTCACTTCACAATAAACTATTATTGTCCTACCAGCCAGATTTCAGCGTTTATAGTTCTGAACTATATTCATCATATCCCTCCTCCCTTCTTTAAGCAACAGATCAACTCCTAACAATCATGACCGGATACAGCGTCTGAGGCAAGAATTTCAGCAAGCAAAGCAAGATGAGGATGTAGAAGACCGGAGACGTACCTATAGTTTTGAACAACCGTGGGTAAGTGATTAGTTTTGCCAGGCACTCAACACTTGTCCAACAGTTTTTACTAGGTACAGCCACTTTAGCAGCAATTAGTTCTCCATTCTGCGTGCAGCAAAATGACATGGATCTGTGTTCCTTCAGCCTTTTAACTTCTGACCTCTCTCTTGCCTCTTTTCATGGTCCATCATTGTGAATTTTATTTTATACTATGACTGTCCATTTGTCTGGTTTGTAAATGGTATTATATGCTGCATGACAAAATATGGCTCAGTCAGTCTCAGGATAAGAATTGGCTTATACTTCAGAATTTGCTTGTAAGAGGGTTATTTAAACGTTTTAATGACATTGTTATTCTTCTCTCTTTTTTTTTTTTTTTTTTTAAAGAAAAAACAAGTCAAAATGAAATTTTCATGAACTGTGTAGTGGATTGGACTGAAAAAAAATTAATAAATAGCAAAGATCATTTAACCGATGCCTGGAAATGCTGAGTTTCTGTGAAGCAGTATAACTCAGTTTTTTGTGTTTTTTTGATTAAGAAAATGATAAATGTTTTTTCCCACTAAAAAAGCAGACAGATATTTCCTAACTGATCATTTAAAGCCTGTTCATTCTGATTTAGGGATGTGATACAATTATGTAAATCTAAATGCTTACCTTGTTTAGCATAATTGAATCAATCAACATTGTTTTTGAATCAATTATGTTTTCTAAATTAGGCTTCTTTAAGCATTTTGGCAAATATTTTTATCTAGTTTATCAGCATCTAGAAGGCATTAGAATATTTCACAATTGTAAAAGTCTTGCACCTTAAGTGTATTATTACTAGCAATAATATGTGCACTGAGCTGAGATGAGAGTACCCAAAGATAAAATTCATTGGTATCATAGGTAACACATAGAGGTGTATGTCATCTTTGTTTACCTGTCGTGGTGAATATATAGTAGTTGACATGTATATACACCATTTAACCTTTGTGTTCTTGTCATCCTTAAATTGTGTCTATTTGAAGCACTGGCATTTTTAACATGCATCATGGAAAGAAACAGATGTCAGGAATCGGGCGTTTCCTTCCCAGTTGTTATGAAACTTCTAACCTCCTCCAAAGTTGAATAAATAAAATACACATTTTATTTTTTTTCATTACCAGATGTTTTTTATTCAGTGTGGCGAAGATAATTTGCTACCTCATTTCTGTTGCACTATAAGACTTTTAGAGATAGGTGGAAAAGGGGGGTTAGGAATGGGAGGTCCTTTTCCATTATGCATACTCACTGCTGTTTAGTCTCCAAATGAGAGATTGAGAAGTGTTCTTGGGGAAAAAATGTCTATGAGAAAAACTTGCACTCTCAAAGACTTGGGAACTTAACTACTGAAGGTCATGGGCCAAATTGTTGTATATCTAAATGCCATAGCAACTTTAGACAGGCAACTTGGCTTGTATTATAGTTTCCTGTAATGAGCGAGTAGGGAATTATTTGGATGACAGGCTGATTACCTTAGGAATGGAATAATTTCCTAAATTGTGGGTCAGAACATTGACCTTTCCTTTTTCTCTCTTTCAAACAATTAGGATCTCTCCATTTACTCCCCATTCTACTGATCATGCAAATGAGCTCAAAGTGACTGTAATTCAGCTTTTAATGTATTAATTTTAATTTTAATGGTTATTGTTGCTTTTGTAGGAGCCGCTCTGTTGTTAAAGATGTAGCTAGCTGCATGGTTTTTATTAGATATGTACTTTAAAATAAATTGGTCCAGTGTACTTTGGAATTATTTTTTTCCCTCATGTAATCTAACCTTGTAAGATCATGATACTTGGAAGGAAAAAGCAGTGATCTCATCCATTTCAACAGTTTACAATCATTTTAGTGTTAAGGAACCAGAAAATCTTCTCTTAAATAGCATGTATAACACTAACATATATTAGTCTAGGATTATGGATGTTCAAGGCCACCCTCTCAAAATGCACCCAGAGGTATTATTAAATATCAGTGACACTCAAAAATGTGTAAGTAGTTTACTGTACATATGCAGAAGGATACTTAGATGTATTCATCAATCTTATTTTCAATCTTCCCATCTGTAAGCTGTTGGCTATTAACCATAGCAACGAAGACAGCACCTGTATTTGAAACATTGTTGAAAACAATGCTTTCACCTGAGGGAGATGTTTTGTGGCACAAATGGAACTTATCTCAACAAAAGGCTCTAAGTCCAGAAAAGTCTCTTATCTACATGATGGAAGCAAGCTCAGCCCCAGTTTGGGTAGAAAGCCTTCCATCTGCAGCAACATATGTACTGGGAAGTGATAAGTAGTTTGCATTTTCATTAACAAGATGATGGGACAGCTGGACAGAGGGAGTAAAGTGATGACTTGATATGGGACTATTGGTTACTTTAAAAGGTATAAATGAACAGGAGGCCTGGTGAGTATATAATGTATTCTACTAGAACTCTTGTGGTTATAAGGATATTCAAATGAGTTTGATGGCTCAGGAGCCTACTAATGGATTACAGAAATTATTGTGTCTGTGTTGTCAGCTCCAATCAATCTTGGCTTGGTAGTGACCATAGGAGCTACAATTTAGCTACCTATTTCAAATGAGTTTAATCTCATTCCTGCTCACTCTAGGCAAGGGGCACTATTACAAGAAGTTGTCGCATTGGCATAAAATGATATCCTTGGTAGGGAGTCCTGTGACTGAATGTGTATAAAGTATGAACTAGCATTGTCATTCCTTGGTTGTCCCTAGCAGGTCAAGTTTGTTGTTTTGTTTCTGAGCAGTTTGACTGACTTCTGTGTTATCATGAAACAAGAAACTTAGGGTGCCTGTACAGGAGTGCAGAGGCTGCTCTGATGCACTGTAATTACAGCGCATTGGAGCAGACTCAACTAATTGAATTACTCTGCTCCAGCAGCCCTCCGTGTCTTGTGTACCAGTGTTCCCATGCTTAAAAATGGTGGCAGGCGCACTTGAACTAAAGCTCATTGGACAAATTTTGGTTCAAGCACCCCCACCACCATTTTTAAGTGTAGGAATGCTGATACATGAGACCCTGTAGCAGAGGATCTAGCACCCCCAGAGCACATGTAAAAGTGCCCTTAATTTCATACAGCTTTTATTCCAGTACCTTTTGGGTTTAAGAAAATATTGAAAGAGGTAGTCTGGAAAAGAGGAGGTGAAGATATGCATTAAAACAGGAATGGGCAATTATAAAAAATTGCTTGAGGTCATTTAAATGATATTTAGATTTTTTTTCAACCATTCTCACTTCATGAGTGGTGATTCATAGACTTCCAGTATAGAAAAACTTGAAGTTCAATGTTTTTTATTAGCTCAGAGCTCTATGGAAAGTATTTTAAAAGTAAACTTGTTTATTTTTGTGTTTATTTGCACGTCAGGGAGTGAGTTCAGAAGGTTCATAATCATATTAAAATATTTCTATACAGAGAATATGCAGATAAATGGATGAGCAGTGCAGGGATATGAAGAAGCCATCGTTGCCCCGCTGGCAGGAAATCA